CAGAAAATGACCCTGACGTAAAAAAAAAAGAACATCAGTAAACTTTTAAAACATCAAACTACGAAGAATACATACGGGAAGTAAACAAACAAACAAACCGTAAACCATCCTGTTTGTTCTGCCTGATCAACACTCCCCGACCCACCTTCAAGCCTTTGCAGGACTGGTTCTCCCAGGCCTGGAATGCACTCCCTCCTCCCCTCCTCTCTCCTGAAATCCCCAGCAGCCTTTTTAAAGCCCAGTTCAGGTGCCCCTTCTCCCCACCCCCTAGTTATCAGCTCTCACTCTCCCTCCTGAAAAATACTTCTTTTTTAAACACACACACACACACACACACACATCTGTGTGCGCACTTGTGTGTGTGTGTGTTTGTTTCTATAGCTTGGATACCAAACCCTAATCAGAGATATTTGATTCAAAGACTTTTTCCCATCAGACAACTTTCTTCTTATCTTAGGTGCATTAATTTTGTCTGTGCCAAAGCTCTGACAATACTTTGTATCTGTGCATACATTGAGAGGACAAGGATTATTTCCTCTGTCTCTATATACCCAGAACCTAACAGCACCTTGGACGTTTGTTGGGGGGCCACTTATAGGCACCTCCCTCTCCCAAAGCAGAGAAGCTCCTGTTTTGGGTTTAAAGTCCTAGGGAGCAGCCTGGGGCACAGACAATTTAAATGACTCACCCGAGGTGTCACAGCCAATAAACTTCAGAAGCAGGACTTCAGTCTACAATCTTATGTTGGGGATGTGTCTCTCATAAATATATAGATAGCACAGGTGCTGAACTAGCAAATGTTTGCTCAGTTGAATTAGGAATACAAGCCTGGACCTGTAGAACAAGTTCCTGATTTGGAGTTGGAAGACCTAGGTTCAAATCCTGCCCTTCCTTCTTACTACTGCAGTGACTGGCCCTGGAGGCAAGTCCCTCCTTCTCTCACTGGGGACTCGATTTACTCATCTATGCAATGAGAGGGGACCAAACCCCCTTCAGACTTAAGTCCACTAAGAGATTCCACCAAGAAGCAGCAAGGTGGTCCCTATCTGGTGATCCCCAAACTCCTGCTAAAAATTCTTCAATGGAACCTTAAGTAGTAAATAATTGCAGAATATCGTGAGTAGTATGGCAGCGAGGGGGCGCCATTAGTGCACATAGCAGCAGGAAAACTCATCTTCCTGAGTTCAAATCTAGCCTCAGATACTTACTAGCTGCGAGACCCTGGGCAAGTCACTTCATCCTGTTTGCCTCAGTTTCCTCATCTGCAAAATGAGTGGGAGAAGGAAATGGCAAAACCGCTCCAGTATCTCTGCAAAGAAAACCCCAAATGCAGCCACAAAGAGTCAGACATGATTGAAATGACCGAACAAATGAGTAGTATATTCAATTATCCCAGGAGTTCACAATATATTTTTGTGGTTATTGAAAAGGAACCAAAAAAGGTTGGGAAGCACTGATGTAGTGAATAGAATGTTGGCCTTGGATTCAGGAAGACCTGGGTTCAAATCCTGCCCCAGTCTGGACATACACATTAAAATGTGTGACCACAAATGAATTCCTTAACCTCTTAGAGTCCTGGATTACACCTTAAGACTATAAACTCAACTCCACAAGCACATTCTAGGCACTGGGGATTGAAAGACAAAAAGAGACAGTCCAGGCAACAGGTTCTGATAAGAAAATATTGCTGGAAGATGGCTTCATGATCAGAGTTAAACACCAGTTATTATTGATGCTGCTCCGGATGTTAGGAGTTTCCACACTGGGAGTACGCCATGATCTGTGCTTTCCTCCACAGATTCAAGAGGAGGCCTTAAGCCCTAACTTGTTAGGCCTGAGCAAGACCAGAGCCACAAGGTGGCATCATTCCATGAGCTAACACTGCAGCTCTCAGCCCTCCGCAGAGGCACCACTCAGTGACTGATGGCCTTTACCCTCCATGAGGACACTTCACCACCGGCCGACTGCCAGGGGCGCACTTAGAAATGGTGGAAAATTAAACGTGAGCTGCCAACAATGAAGCAGAAAATTACACGAGCCCTGGCAGGCATTCAATCCAATTAAACCAATGGATGCTAAACTCCTACCATAGTAAAAATGAGAGGCAATCTGTCCTAGTGGATAAACAGTTCCCTCAGAGTCAGGAAGACCTGGGTTCAAGTCCTGACTCAAATGCATACTCAATGGCCTTGTGACACCTCAGGACCACAGGCAGCTAAGACAAAATAAATTGCAGAACAGTCACTAAAGTCTGTATAATGGGTATCATACTGTTTTGTCTTCTCCATGGGTGAGAGAGAATTTGGAACTCAATATTTTAAAAAAGGAATGCTATAAAATAATTAAATAATTAGAATTTTTTAAAATAACAGTTGCTAATGTCTGTATAATGGGTATCATATTGTTTATCTTCTCCATGGGTGAGAGAGAATTTGGAACTCAACATTTTAAAAAATGAATGCTATAAAATAATTAAATAATTAATTTATATATAATAAATATATAATAATATAAATAATAAATATAAAATAAATAATAAATAAATATGAATAAAAAATTTATATATAATAAATAATTAAATGATTAGAATTTTAAAAAATAACAGTTGCTAATGTCTGTATAATGGGTGTCATATTGGAACTCAAAATTTTAAGAAATGAATGTTATAAAATAACTAATTAATTAGGATTTTAAAATTTAAATTAAATAGGATTTTTTTTAAATTGCAGCTCGGTACATGTGAAAGGGAAAGTCAGAAGACCTGGGCTCAAAGTCTACCTCTGATACCCACATGACCTTGGGAAAACCACTTCCTGGGCCTCACTTTCCCTCATCTGTGAAAATGAAAGGGTTGAAGTAGATCACCTCTGAGGTCCCTAAGATCTATGATCCTGTGATCTGCATTGCTAGAGAGTTTCCTAGACCAAAGAATCCCAGGTCAGGACCAAAAACACACACACACACACACACACAGAGGTACACCTATATACAATGCACATATGCACACACATGGCTATGTATGCATACATATGTGTACACATACTACATATACATACATGTGTGTATGCATGTGTGCATCATATACACATGACAAGCGCTAGAGTTATAAAGATGGACAACACAGAGAAGACGCTAACCATCAGTGGAAAAGAACACTGGACTCAGAGAGGTTCAAAGTGAAGCTCTGTTACTCAGACTCAAGAGTCCTACAATGGAAAGTGCTTGGGCTTTTAGAGTCAGGATCTGGGTTCAAATACTGCCACAGTCAGCTACTAGCTATGTGACGCTGGTCAAATCATCTGACCTCTGGGCCTCTTTCCTTGTCTATGTAACGAAAAGACTGGACTTCATGACTTCTGAGATTCCTTTCAGCTCTAAAGCTAACAGCCTGTGAAATGTCATGCCCTTTCTACTCTTTGGAGGCAGAGGAGCCTAGTTTGAATTCTGACTGTAGCCCTTAATCACTGCACCACCTAGGGGAAGTCAGTAAATTTCTTTGATCGTCTTAGGACCACAGATGTCAGGGAGGAAGGGACTTTGAAGGTCATCTACTCCAACCCCTACATTTTACGGGTGAGGAAACTGAGCTGCTGAGAAGTTAAGTGAGCGGCTCACAAGGTTGCACTGGTAATAAATGGCTTGGCAAAGATCTGAATTTGGCCCTTTCCAAAACAGAATGTAAGTTGCTCTAGGCTCAAGGTGGTTTTGACTTTGCAGTTTGTGTGTTGGTATCCCCAGTGCCCAAGCATACAGTAGGCATTCAATAAATGCCTGTTGGATCTGCTTGGCCAAAGCAGATCCTAAGAGGCCTAGTTTCACATTCTACCAAAACGCTGCTACTGGTGGGGTGGCCCGAGGTTTGTGCCACAGGAAGCAAAACCTGACTGTGCTGGGAGGTAGCAGGGAGGAGGGGAAGTGGGCTGCAGTTTATTAAAGTCTGCAGAATTCGCTCATAGGCCTGGGAATGTGACGGAAAGGCTCTCCTCCACCCTGCCAAGGGATCATTTTAATCACCAGGAGTGCACAGACTCATGTATCATCGGGAGACGATGCATCCACTCCAGCACGCCCATGCAGTCAGCTTATAAATAAAACCTCTGGCTGGAGGAGTCCAGCGAAGGGACAGCAGGGGCACGGGGCCGACTGCAGCCCACTGCGTCTGAGCCGGTCAGCGCCAGACCAGCGCCAGGACAAGCGGATTTCGGGAATTATCAAATGGTTAAAGCAAAGATTCTGCCGATTAAGTGCAGAGGTGGGGGGTGGCGCGTGGGGGAGGGAGGAAGGAGGCTTTTCCAGTCCAGGGCCCTGGGGGAAAGGGCGAGTGGACAAATTGTGAGCGCTGTCACCAGTGGTCGTCCCTCTCCACGTGACCGTTCCCTCCTCCCCTTCTCCCCAACACACACACTCCCAGTTCGGCTCTAGAGCCGTAAGCGTCTCGCAGAGAGGGTCCGCAATCCCCCGAGGGGTGCACTGATGCTCAGCCTACGAATTTTATAGAAGAAATTACAGAAAGTGCTCTGAGCCCTGGGTCTCTATCACAGAGAGGGGAGCCCGGCAGGCACCCAATTTCAAGGGTAACGGGAACTTTCAGGGTGCTGAGACTGGGCCTGGGGGAGTAGCCCTGGAAATGAAGACCCCCACCCTCAATCCCGGACGCTCCCGTTGGGGCTACCGCCCCCTCCCTTGAACTAGGCCGGCTCTGAACTAGCCCCGGGGCGAGGTTGGTCCAAGAATGCCAAGCAAGCCTCTGGTGCAGTGCACCAGGTTTCCTGGGCACAACAGGTGCAAAGGTCTCCCAGCACAATTTCGTTTTGCAAACGCGTTGGGGTGTGGGAGAATCAAGAGGGCCGGCATGAAACGGAGGGCTCCCCCCACCCCCCTCTTCCTGCCTTCCTCCCCAGGCCTCTCCTTCGCGGCTCTCCCCCAACTAAGGATGCGCTCGTCTTCGGGGCTTCGCAGCAACGGGAGGGTGCATGCGCTCAGCCCGGGGCCGTACTCACCCTGGGGGTGCGGAAGCGCAAGGGAGCCCGGGCCAAGGCGCGCACTGGGGGCCCCCGGCTGGCGGCAGCGGCAGCAGCTGGGAGGGCTGTCCCCGCCCACTCGCGGGTGGCCCTGGAGGAGAGGGCGGGCCCTGCGGGTAAAGTCTTTGGTTTGGGGCTCCATTACGCTCTCCTCGTCCGCGCGGGCGGGTGGTAAAGAGCCAGGAAAGGCTGAGCATTCATTCACCCACCCACCGCCCCTACCTTCAAGCGCCTGCCACGGAGGGCTAAGATGAGCTGGCTTCCAAGCCAGAGGGACGCGGGTTCGAGTGCTGCCTCTGATACATACTGACGCCTAATCAATGCTGAGTGATTGATTGTGTGAGCCTGGATAAGCCTTACTGCTCTCTACATGGCATCTGGCCTGCATTGGTAGAGGGTCCTCTAATAAGGTCACACCCCTTTTTGCACCCTCTCCCATCTTTTCAGGGGTTATTGATTTAGGTCTCATCTCAAATATACAGAGAACTTTGTCAAATTTATAAGAATAGGAGTCATTCCCCAATTGATAAATAGGCAAAGGATATGAACAGGCAGTTTTCGGATGAAGAAATCAAAGTTATACATAGTTGTATGAAAAAATACTCTAAATCATTTCCAAATATATTCTTTTCCTTCCTCTAGCCAGCAACCCATCCTTTGTAAATATGTATTTTATATATTTACATGTATGTATACATTTATGTATGTGTATGTGTGTGTGTGTGTGTGTGTGTGTGTGTATGTGTGTGTGTACAGAGAGGGGAAGGGGGGGGCGGCCGGCCGGCAGGGAAGTGGATAGGGTACCAGGTCTGGAGTAAGGTAGATCTGAGTTCAAATCTAGAGTTAGGCACTTAGTAGCTGTGTGACCCTGGGCAGTCACTTCACCCTGTTTGCCTCTGTTTCCTCATCTGTAAATGATGGAGAAGAAAATGGCAAACCAATCCAGTATCTCTGCCAAGAAAACCCAAAAAGGGGTCAAGAAGCATTGGATTCAACTAAAACAAAGACAAACATACACACATGTATATATGTATGCGCATGGGTGTATATATGTGGGTATATCACACACATACACATATATATATGGAAAGCAGCTGAGCAGAGCCAACCTAATAGTATATTCAACATTCCACAGCTGTAGTCCCCCGTCTCTACAAAGGAGAGATTTCTATTTTCTATTTATTTTCTTTTTTTATTTTCTTGAAATTGTGTCTCTGTAGCTCATCCCAGCTAAGAGCACAGTGTAAATTCCCACTGCTGATGTGCACAGGATTTTTGACCTGCCCTGTTTCTGGCCTGGGCTGATTCACCCTCTCCTTAGGCAGCATCTCACCCTGCCCCCAGCTCCCAGGATCGGTGCTAAACTTAGTGTAGATGTTAAATGTTAGCCCTTCTGCAGCACTCAAGGGACCCAGCAGCCTCAACCTCAGCCCCTAAGCAGGGATTACAGGCGTTAGAATAGGCAATGAAGAAACAACACTACTACTCTTTGCAGATGATATAACGATATACTTAGAGAATCAATTTTTAAAAACTACTTGAAATAATTAACAACTTTAGCAAAGTTGCAAGATGTAAAATAAAGCCACAAGGTCACACTGAGAATAAGTGGCTGTGTCAGAATCTGAACCCAGGTCCTCTGGTTCCATGATGCCCTTTATGTTCCACGTAGGGAAATATTCCCCAAGATTTACATATGCTGAAAGTGTAATGGGCTGCCTCAGGAGATAGTGAGTTCCCCGTCAGCAGAGGTATATAAGCAGAGACTGTCCTGACCATTTGTTGGGGATGTTGAATTTCCTCAGATTCAAGTTCAATGACTTGACCTCCAAGATTCCTTCCAACTCTGAGATTGCTACTCGAGGCCAATGAAAATCTACCCTTGGTTTAAAATTGTTCCCTCCTCCCATCTCCTTCCCACTTATCCTAGGTTATACTACCTTAGTGCTTCTAATGAAGGTAGGATAGGGACGGGACAGGACTTCTTTGTTAGAGGAAACTAGCTGTCCCTGCACTTCCCATTAGTTGGAGGAGAGAAGGGGGTGGAGGCAAAAGGGCAGAAATACAGGGTGGGGATAAGGAATTGGCCAAGAGAAATTATCCGTCTGAGCCAAGAGGGGTGGAAGAAGTCAACTCCCCCATAGCTGTGTGCCTACCCTCCTGCCTGCTTCTTTGACCAACGGTTGTTACCACACAGGGTAAGATTAAGCAAGGGGTTTCCAGGAAGGTTGCAATCTCTGGGGCGGCTGGGGCCAAGCCAAGCTGCATGCCCTTCCCCACCCCATTCTCAGGACAACGGGGCCATCTAAAAGCCCCCAGCATGGGATGTTCCCTTCTGAGAAATAACTCAGGACCATGCTGAGCAGGTGCCCCATAGCTGGACAAATAAGTCATGGGACTGTTGGCTCATTTCCCAGCCACACCCCCAGATTGGCTCAGTAGAGCTGGTAGGAGAATGAAAAGGGGAGAGGGGTGGTCAGGGAGTCAGGCTTTGGGCAGCCAAGGACTCTGGACTCTGGGAGCCTTCTCAGATTTCCTAACACGCACCCCACCCCCACAGAGGGCCATTCTGTCCACACGCAGAGGCTGGAGCCCCAGCCAAGGGAGGGCTGGTAGCAGAGGTCAGGTGGCTATAGCAGGCCAGCCTGCGTGTTCCTGGATGCCAACCTGAATGTCAGCCTAGCTGGCAGAGGTCATAATCCCTCTCCTATCCCTCCCTTTCTCTGCCGGGCTCACCAGAATCCAGATCTTTCATAGCCTGAATTGGCTATGATTAAAAATAAGTAAAAGAAATTCTCTCAGACAAAAATCAGCCTGCACTAATGCGTTCCAGGGCCTTACTGTAGAATGAAGATGACTGGAGGGTCCTAAAGGTTCTGCCAGAGGAACCTAAGCATTAATCAGTTCTACCAAACCCTGGCACAGAACTCCTCCATTTGGCATTTAAATCTCTTCACAGCCTGACCCATCCAGACTATCACCCCCTCCAGGAACTATTTCTCCAAATCAACACTCATAGGTATGCAGGTTGGGTCTCTACCCAGCATGAGGATCAGTTGAGGAAACTGGGAAGGTTTTGTCTGAAGAACTGAAGGCTCAGGGGATGTGAGAGCTGTCTTCAAGTGTCTAAAAGGCTATAGTGAAGCAGAATGAGAACTAGGAGCGATAGAAGATGCTTCAGAAAGAGACATCGAGGTTTCAGGCCAGGAAGAACTTCCAAATGACTACTATGCCAGACAGGAACAGGCTACCTCAGGAGGTGATGGATGGGCTCCCCCTTATGGGAGGTCTTCAAACAAAGAACGGGTGACCCTTTGTAAAGTATGTTATCATGGGGATTCCTTTTTCAGCACGAGTTAGGTGAGATAGCTGCTGAGATCCCTTCTAACTCAACTTTCTGGCATTCTGTGAAGGTTTGATGCAGCTGGTCCATGGGGTCCTGGGTGGGGGAAGGGGTGGGCATGGGCCCAGGTAGGGATCATGGGAGGTTGCCTTTTGAATATGACAGATCATGCCAGGGGATTGGGGGAGAACCATGAGGTACAGGGATGGTGAGCTGGAGACCTCCTCAGGAATGAAAAATGCCTCCTCTAAATTTTGGAAGCCTGGGACAAAGCCTCAGTCATCCCACCCTAGTTCTAGTTGAAAAGGCACATTATCAAGTTTGTCACAGGGCAATGAAATACTTCTCCATGGTAAGTGGTGATGACCCTTTGCTCAGTCATAGAGGGAGTCATAATTTGCATCAATTCAGGAAATATCCATCCACATTGAGGAAATCACTCATCTTTGAAGGGGCAATGAAAGGAATTCATGCCTCAACATTTTTTCAGGAGTAAGAAAGTCCTATGAAATGAAACCAGTCTTCTTCCTAAAATACACTCCATAGTGCTTAAGTGCTTAAGAGGCAGTGGAAAGAGCGTTGTTGATGGAGTCAGAGGACCTGAGTTCAAATCCTACCTTTGACACTTGTGTGCCCTTAGACAAAACCCTTAAACACCTTAGGATGTATATGGCTTCTGTGATTCCCAGGGTTCCAATGGAAGCCTAACATCTCCCAAGCATGGTAGCTTGGCTAAGGGTTTTGTTTTCATCTCTCAGCATCTTTTCCTTCCTCCTGCGCAACAGGCAACTTCCTTCTTATCTCTGTGCTCATCTCAGGCTCCAGTCTGACTTCTGGACCAGCCTGGTTTTCCTTTCCTCCTTCCGCAAGAAATTTGAATGTGTGAAACATAGCCTAGATGTGAGGACACTGCCACTGAGGAAACCACAGGGTGCAAACTGCCGGGAGACCAGCCTGGGAGAGAAGTCAGAGAAAGCTCACCTCCCTGACCTTTAATTCCTGTGTGGATCAGCAATGGCCAGAGACATGCTGTAGCCAGCCAAGGTCAGGTGGCAAGAGGTGCAGTGGAGACAGTGTCGAGCTTAGAGTCTTAGCATCTGAGTTCAAATCCCTGATCTGCCACTTTCTACCCATATGACTGCGGGCAAGTCATTTTAACTAATTTAGCATCATGCTCCCTTACTGTGGGTATTCCCCAAGGTTCTAGGGCAGATCACCGTCTCTTTTCTCTTTATTTTCTCTTTCTCTTCTTCTTTCTCTCTGTCTCTCTCTCCTCTCTCTTTTCTCTCTTCCTCTCTCTATCTCTGTCTTTGTCTCTCTCTGTCTCTCTGTCTCTGTCTCTCTCTGTCTCCCTCTCCTCATCTCCCCTCTCTTTTCTCTCTCTCCTCTCCTGTTCCTCTGTCTCATCTCCTCTCACTCCTCTCTTCTCTCTCTGTTCTTTCTCTGTCTCTCTCCATCTCTCTGTCTGTCTCTATCTTTGTCTCTCTCTCTCCCCTTTCCTCATTTCCCCTCTCTTCTCTCTCCTCTCCCTCTGTCTTTCTCTATCTCTCCTTCTCTCTCCTCTCCTCTCCTTTTTCTCACCTCTCTTTTTTCTCTCCTTCTCTCTCTGTCTCTCTCCATCTCTCTGTCTCTCTCAGTCCCTCTCTTCTCTCTCTGTAACTTTGTCATTTCCCATGAATTTAATTATCATCTCTATGCAGATCTCACACACACACACACACACACACACACACACACACCCTCATGTCTGCCCCAAGTTCCAATCCTGGATCCCGTCTGATAGTTGCCTATCAGACATTTCAAACCAGATGTCCCAGAAATAGTCTAGTTCAACATATCTAAAACTGACCTCACTATCTTTCTCCCCACACCCTCCCCTCTTTCAGACTTCCCTGGTTCTGTCAGAAGCACCACCATACTTCCAGTCTCAGGTCCCTGATCTTGATCTTGTCGTGGGCTCTTTCCTCTCCCTCACCCCACGTGTCTAATCAGTTGCCAAATCTTGGCATGTCTACCTCCAAGACAACCCTCTCATCCCATCTCCTCCCTCCATTCACTTGGCTCACCCAGGCTCTTTTCACCTCTCAGCTAGACTATTCTTACCTAGCCCTTAGCCACTGAATGGACATTGTCTCAGACAAACTGAGGCCTGAGAAAGACCTTAATTGAGAAACACCAAGGTCACCCACTGCATCCCGGGCCATTACCGATTGTCTTGACTTTGTCTCACCACTGGATTTAGACAACCCTGAAAGAGAGAGTAAGGCTGATGACTTTGCCTCACTTAAATCTAATTGGCTCAAAAGTCAAGACATTACCCCGTGATGTCACGGATCCTCTTCCATAGCAAAGGATGGACAACAACAACAAAGACCGTTCTAACAGCCTTCTAACTGTCCCCTCTGCCTCAAGTCTCTCCCCACTCCAGTGCATCCCGCATACGGCTACCAAAGTGAGTTTCCTTAAATACAAATCTGGCCATGTGACTCCCAGACTCAATCAGTTTCCTGTTTCCTCAAGACTCAAACATAAACCCTGTTTAGCTTTTAAAGCCCTTCCAACGAAGCTGAGAAGAGAGGTAGGGTCAGGTCCGCCCCCCCCGCCCCTCCCCCCTGCCAAACTTTTCAATCCAGAGGAACTGGCCTTGTTTTATAACATTACAATTCCTTTTTTTTCTTTTTTTGGTGAGGCACTTGGGGTTAGGTGACTTACCCAGAGTCACACAGCTAGTATAACATTACAATTCCTATCCTCACACCTTTGTCCTTCCTTCTTACCTTATTTCATAGAGCCCCTTTCTTTCCATAAGGTGCAGCTTAGACACCAGTGTCTGATCAGGCCTTTCCTGAACTCCCAGACGCAGGTGTTCTTCCTCCCAGACATCATCATCTTCCTCCTCATCAATCACCATTAGCATTTATATGGTGCTTTAAGCCTTAAGGAAATACAATATTGAATTTGAGGGTCAGCAAATAGGCCAGTTTGATTAAAATATAGAGTACATTAAAGGAAGGAGTGTGAAAGAAATCTGCAAAGTTCGGGTTGATACCAGGCTGTGAAAAGCCTTAAATGCTAGGCTAAGGACTTTGTATTTTATACTAACGGTGATAAGCAAGGGACCCCTGAAGAGTCTCACTTGAGCCAAGGTCAGACCTGGGCTATTATAACTCACTCTCTAGTGGCTCGGAGCAGATGAGTCCATGTATTTCCTCAGCAGATGGAGCAGTCACAGCATCCCCCTGGGTTTGGTCAGAGTGCTGGTTGGGGAGTACTTTGACACCCTCAGATGAAAGAGGCAAAGGCCTCATTGATATTAGAGGAAGTATTGCTCCTAAAGAGTCACAAGGAAGGTGCTTTAGGCTGCTTGGGGAATGAGGGGGGAAGGAAAGGGAAGATTATCACCAATTGGCCAGGGAGCTGAACCTGGGGAAGGGACCACCACCTAACCCAGGCAGATGCACTGGTACCCTACATCTCTTGCCTTAAGCTTCAAGATGAAGGAGCTAGCAAAAGCTCTTGGCTTGCAGATAAAAGGAACAGATAAAAGTATTGGCAGTCACCCCAGAAATCCCTTCACTGGCAAAAGAAAAAGCCGCATTCTCTCCTTCAGGCCAAACGGAGGAGACACATGCAGCCTGGGTGAGAGAGAGAGAGAGAGAGAGAGAGAGAGAGAGAGAGAGAGAGAGAGAGCTGGCCTCACAGAACCCAGGGCAGGTGATAGGGAGTCTGCAGCAAGGACAGGGCATTTGGGGAAGGAGGCCTGCCATAGCCTGGGTGAGAATCAAGACACAATATACTCAGCCTTTGCACCCCTCTGCTCTCCACGGAGGGATATAGACAGGGGAAATTCTCCATCCTTCCATCCCCACCCTCAAGCCCCATCAAACTATTCAGAAGAACTGCAGTAGCCTGGTTAGGAGCCAAGACCTTAGTTCAAGGGGCCTTTCTGAGATGGGCCAGGAAGAGCAGGCTAGGTGGAACGCCTCACCTACTTCACCTTCTCCCACCTTTCCTCTCTGGGTCTCCAGTGCTGGAAATACAGGGCAGTGCTCTTATTCATGCAGTATCAAAGCAGTAGATTGGTCTCAGATTTAGGGTCCAGGGGGCCTGGGTTTGAGTATCTACCTGTCTGACCTTTCACTGCTGTTCAGTCGTTTCAGTCATGTCCAACTCTTCCTGACCTTATTAGAGGTTGTCTTGGCAAAGACGGTGGAGTGGTTGGCCGTTTCCTTTTTATTTTATTCATTTTACTCATTTGACAGATGAGGAAACTGAGGTAAACAGGGTTAAGTGACTTGCCCAGGGTCACACAGCTAGTAAATATATGAGGCTGGATTTGAATTAAGGTTTTCCTGACACCAGGCCTGGTCCTCTATTCAGTGCACCCACCACCTAGCTGTTCCATTTCACCTTGAGTAAGTCAATTCAAAAGTCAACAAACATTTATTAAACCCCTGCTATATGCCAGGCATTGTGCTAAGCACTGGAGATACAAATATAAAAAAGAAAAGCAGCCCTTATGCTCAAGGAGCTTACAGTCTAATGGGAGAAGGTACATTGGGGGGGGGAGCTGAAAAGGGAGATGAGAAGGGGCTGGGGAGGATGGGGATATGGCAGAGAAATAAAATAAATCCCCCGATGAATGCATCTGGGTGGGAAAGGCTCCTGTTTTCCCTTATTAAATGGAGGTTGAGGAGTTCCCAGCTCCACTCCCACCCCCCAATCAGAGGGGCAGAGGGCTCTGATGAAGTGTGAGTACCAAAGCTGATTTTCCACAGATGAGTTTACTGGGGGCATGGTGGAAAAGCCAAAGAATTTCAAATTGATTCACCCTTTCAGGCCTCAGTTTCCTTTTCTGTATCTATGACCAAACCGAATTAAGCTTGAGCACATTTTCCCCAGAAACAGAGGTGGTCTAGGACAGAAAGTGCCCCCCACCCAGGTATTGGGAGAAAATGTTTGCACTTTTATGCTGGCTGCACCTTGGAAGTAAATATCCTTTTGGGTATGCTAATTGATGTTAATTGGTTAGACTGAGTTGAGGCATTAATCGCTGTCATCTAACAGTGATAGTGTGGTAGGAACACACCAGAAGGGGAGCTCAAGTCAAAGGCTTTAAAGAGGAGATGTCTTTACCCCTCCAGGGTACCCCTAGATCCCGGGGGGGGGCAGAGATGCAGCCTTCCTTGAGCTGTGATAGTGAAGAAAGAGCCATCACCATGTTTGAGAAGGAGGTGGTTAGATTTGAAGAGCTGAGGTACCATCCTGCTCCAGATCTATGATTTTAGGAACGTTATCTGTTTCCACTGATTGGGCACTATTCTAAGCATTTGGGTACCTAGGGGAACCAAAGACAAATAAGATACAATCTCTGCCCCTAAGGAAGCTGTCCTCAAGTACACACATATGTCAAAAGTTTGTTTGTGATCTGTACCTTGGGTGGAGTAGCCTCTGAAGCCCGTCCTTGCAGCATGCACAAATATTCCCTGCCTGGTTTCCGTCCAAATAACCAAATGGATGACTCAGGGTTTGGTACTGTGGGACAAAGAAAAGTCTTCTAATTGGCCTCCGAGCCCGAAAAATGATGACAGAGCTTGCTGAGTAGGCATGCAGAAAGGGAGACCTGTCCTTTGTCTTTTTTCTTTTTCTTTTGCAGTTTCCAGGAGGCAGGACTGCTCTAAGCTGCCCCCTGAGACCAGGGCAGGGGGCAGGGCACCTGCCTTTTTTCTTACCTGGACGTGATGGCTGTGAGCATGTGGCTGTTTGCATTGCTTTGTATTTTTCCCTAATGTTAGGGTGATGAGTATTATAAGGTGAAAGCATTCCGTTGACCTTGTTGAGTCAGATAACCCAGTGGTCCTATCAGAATTCCTGGAGGTCCCAGAACCCAAAGGCAATAGGAGCTAAAGGGTGACAGCAGCAGTGAGCTACAGAAATGGAGATGTCTGCAGAGAGTTATAGAAAGACATGGAGGACAGAGGCAGCTTCAGGGACAAATTGTGACCCCTGAGAAGTGCTGGCTGTGGAGTCAACACAGGCAGTAATTCTCAGAGCCCACTGGGACTCTCCACCCAGAAGGGCCTTTACCTAAGGGGGAACTTGTTAAGGATTCCATGAAAGAAGAACAGAATTCTCAGTGCCTGGAGTAGCAAGGTAACCCTCTGTCCCACATGTTCTTTACCTGTGCAGCTCATTACATTTGTATTTTAAAGTTGAGTCCACTCTCCCCAAGGACTCTGTGTGTGTGTGTGTGTGTGTGTGTGTGTGTGTGTGTAAGAGGCAACTGCACTCCAGGTTTGGTGGCACTGTTTTGTAAAAACTATTATTGTTATAGATTCCCAATAAATCCCATCTCTTTTTTTTAATGTTACACTAACTTTATTCTTTTACATTTAATTATTATCTTTTCTCAATTACATGTAAACAAATGTTTTTAACATTCTTTTTTTAAAAATTTGAATTCCACACTTTCTTCCTCCCTCCCAACCCCTCCACTTGAGAAAGCAAGAAACTTGAAGAATACGCAGAAGAATGTTAGAGAGAGAGGAAGGAATATGGTTGCGAAGAGTTTTAAACATCCAACAGAGATATTTATATTGGATCCCAAAGGTAATAGAGAGCCCCTGGAGTTTTTAGCCTAGAGGATCACATGGTCAAACCTGCATTTTAGGAAAATCACCTTGGCAGTGTTGTGGAGGATAGATTGGAGAAATCTGAGCCAGGGAGACCAACTGGAAGGCTGTTGCAATAGCCTAGATAAGAATCAGTGAGAGCCTGAACTAGGCTTGTATGGCCAATCAAAAATTAGGATCACATATTTATCCAAATATTATGTAACTCATTTACAAGTATAGATTATACATGTGCAGTCATGTAAAAGATTTCCACATTAGCCAGTAAATCCCTTGTCTGGAAGCTACTGAGGACCACTGGCTGATTCTTGATGGAGAGCAAACCACTGGGGGCTTGTTAGCAACAGTACAAAAACCACAGTTTCTCCAAGTTACCCCTAGAATCTCCCTGAGATCAGGAGTCAGCCCCTTCTCTAGGGATGCAAACTTGTGAATAGAAGTGCCTGGCTAGGGGAGTGGAGGCAGAGGGGTGCCACAAATACAAGGTGGGGTGTTATTGCTGTCCCTTGCTTTATGACCTAGAAGAGCTACTGAAAAGCACATTTCCTGGTGTTCGTTATCATTAACTCATTAGTTTATTAAGAATCTTACACTTCCAGATTTGGAGAAGTGCCTTATCCTAATTTCTGACTGGCCATATGGGTCTGGTTTGGGCTCTCACTGATTCTTGTCTGGGCTGTTCCAACAGCCTCCGAATTGGTCTCCCTGCCTCATGAGTCTCCAGTCCGTCCTCCACAACGCCTGCTTAAGTGATTTTCCTAAAATGCCAGTTTGACCCCTGTGCTAAAAACTCAGGGGCTCTCTATCACCCCTGGAATCCAGTATCAATATCTCTGTTGGATGTTTAAAACTCTTCACCTCAGGTACCTTCCTCCCTCTCTACACTTCTTCTACATTAGTCCCTACCATGAACTGGACAATCTAGCCCTAGACACCTATTTACCATTTCTTACACACCAGGATTCATCTCCCACAGCCAGACTTTTGCCTTGACTGTATCTCCTGCCTAAAATGCACTCCCTTCAACTCATAGAATCCCTCCCTCTCTTTCTTTTTTCTTTTTTCTTTTTTTCCTCCCTCTCTTTAAGACATAGCTTTAGGGGCAGCTAGATGGCACAGTGGGTAGAGCACTGGCCCTGGAGTCAGGAAGACCTGAGTTCAAATCCAGCCTCAGACATATAACACTTACTAGCTGTGTGACCCTGAGCAAGTCACTTAACCCCATTGCCTAGCCCCTCCCCCCAAAAAGCCATAGCTCTATGTGAAGCCTTTCTTTTTCCTCTCAACTGCCAGTACCATCCCTCCCAAAGTACCTTGTATTTAACTTTTGTTTTTGTTTTTATTTATTTTCCAAATATTTATTTTGCAATGCTTTTTCATTTATTTATTCATATAGTTCACATACTTAAATATTAATGTATTCTCTCCCCCAGTAGACTGAAAGATCCTCGAGGCCAGGGATTGTTTCATTTCTGTCTTTGTTTCCTTAGTATTTAGCATTGTGTCTTGCAAATAGTAGGGGCTTAATAAATATTGTTTTACCAAACACTTGACACTTACTAGCTGTATGACCCTGGGCAAGTCACTTAACCCCCACTGCCAAAAAAAAAAAAAAAGAAAGAAAACATGTTTTATTGGTTGATCAACTGATTGACATTATTCTTGTTCTCAAAGAACTTTTATCAAGCTAGACTGTGTTCGTGTGTGTGTGTGTGTGTGTGTGTGTGTGTGTGTGTGTGTGTGTGTTGGGTGTGGTGGGGACTGGGGAGGTAGGATATACAGGAAAGCTAGAGATAAAGTACTCCAGGAAAATTTTAAACCAAAAAAAATTCTTTCAGACAGGAAGAAGATCACAGAAGGCTTCATGGAGATGGTAGCACCTGACATGGGCCTTGCAGGAAGAGAAGGAAATTGAAGTTGGAGATGAGAAAAGATTATATTCCAGGCATGAGGCCAAGACCTGTGCAAATGCTGGGAGGTGGTAGATTGTGTATCAAGCTTAAAGAAGAACTAGTAGGGCAGTGTGGGGAGAAGGCAGCATGTGTAAAAGGTAAGTAATGTGCAATAAGGCGGAAAGGTAGGTTGGAGCTGGTCAATGGAGGGTTTTAAATACTAGAACGAGGAGATTGTACCTGATCCTGTAAGTAATAGGGAGCAATTGAAGGTTTTTGAGCTGAAGAAGGATGCGCCCAGACCCATGCACTAGGAAACATGTTCACGTACCTGACCAAAGGTTGGAGTGGAGAGAGAAACCATTCAACAGCGATACTTTTTATAAAATGATGAATAGGTTTATAACGAAAATAATCTCTTAACTTGTATGTTATAGATGATCATGGATCTAGAGCTGGGAGGGCCCTCTGAGGTCATCTGGTCCAATCCTCTTCATTTTACAGATGAGGAAACTGCGACCCAGAGAGGGGTTAGGCGCCCAAGATTAACGGGTAGTGGGTGGTAAAGTCAGAATTAGAATTCGGGTCCTAGGATAGCAAATCCTGCCCTCCAGGTTCAGAGCTCTCTCTCAGCAATGTGATCTAGAGCCAGAGGATCTGGGTGTCCTTTAATCTTTCTGGGCCTCAGTTTCCTCATCTGTAAAATGAGAAAGTTAGACTAGGGGATTTCTAGGGGCCCTTCCAGCTCTGAAGCCTTAATTCTACATTATCAGAGTGAAGAAAATGACATCACCAGGTGGGCTGAAAACTCCCACACAGTCGGCATTCAGTGGATGTTTAATTTTAATCTGGTTCTGTTCTTCCTTAACTTCATAGCCCATGGGGAGGAACAAAATAGACCTCTCTGCAAAGCTGTAATGATATCACAGAAGCAAAATCTCAGAGATGAAGGGGCCTCAGGGGCTTCTAGTCCAACCAATATCCAGACCCTGTTTTGCGTGTTTACAGTCTGATCTCTGACCACCTTCCCCCTATTACCCAGTCACCCACCCTGATCTCTCCTTTCTTTCATTGTATTCTGGTATCCCCAAGCACATTTTTTGGGGAGTTAGGCAATAGGGTTAAGTGACTTGCCCAGGGTCACACAGCTAGTAAGTGTTATGCGTCTGAGGCCAGATTTGAACTCAGGTCCTCCTGAATCCAGGGCTGGTGCTCTATCCATTGTGCCACCTAGCTGCCCCCCCAGCCCCCAACCCATCTTGACCCTTTATAGGATCAAAGGAATTATTTAGAACTGGAAAGAAACTTCTCAGTCTCTGCTTAAAGAGCTCCAATGATGGTGAACCTTCCACCATCTAGAATCGAAACTGGGGTAAGGCAAGGGGCAGCTAGGTGGCACAGTGGATAGAGCACCGGCCCTGACCTGAGTTCAAATCCAGCCTCAGACCAAACACTTCACACTTACTAGCTGTGTGACCTTGGGCAAGTCACTTAACCCCAATTGCAAGAAAGAAAGAAAGAAAGAAAGAAAGAAAGAAAGAAAGAAAGAAAGAAAGAAAGAAAGAAAGAAAGAAAAGAAAGAAAGAAAGAAAGAAAGAAACTGGGGTAAGGCAACTGGGGCTTTTCTCTAGGGCACTGAAATTTAGAAGGTGTTGATAGAACTTTCAGGCCTTCAGCAGTGTGGAAACAACTGAGCTTAGCATCCAATTTGCAGAAATAATTTATTAAAACAGGAAGCTATAGGACAGGCCATGCCTGAAGTGAGCTCCTTCTTCATTTGCACCCAGTTCCCAGGTGTAAAAATGGATAATTACAGTTCTGCTACCTCAGAAAGTATGCCATTATACATTGGGATGGCCCTAATTGTCAGGAGGTTTTCCTTGACATCAAACTGAAACATTTGAGGCAGCTAAGTGGCACAAGTCAAGAAGATCTGAATTCAAATCCTGCCTCAAACACTTATTAGCTGTGTGACCTTGGGTAAATGACTTAACCTCTCTCAGCCTTAGTTTCCACAAGTGTAAAAAATAGGTATAATAATAGCAGCTACCTCGAAGGGTTGTTGTGAGAGTCAAATACGAATAAAGAGCTTGGCACATAGTAGGTGCTTAATAGATGCTTATGTTATTACACCTTTTTTGAGACTTTCATCCATTGCTCCTGGTTCTACCTTCTAGGGCCAGACAGAGCAAGGCTAATCCGTCCTCCGTATTACAACCCTTGAAATATTTGAAGATCATTACCACATCCTCCCTACCCGCACCCCATGCCCACTCCTAAGTCATCTCTTCTCCAGTTCTTTCAATTAAGCCTTATATGGCATGGTCCCCAATTACCTCCTCTGGATATGCTCATGCAAGCATTAGGATTTTCATTTTACAGATGAGGAAACTGAGGCTTAGAAGAGTAAAATGATGTTGTATTCTTTCCTAGAACTGAGCACTAGAGTGGTGAGAGTCCAGGCAGAAATACCTATGCTCAAGGTGCTCCAGGCCTCACTAATTCAGATTTCATGAGACACTTATTGTACATGCTCAGTGTTGACTAATGGCAAGAATTCTGGGCCTTGAGGTTTGGGGGGCTCCTGAGCAGATGCCATGACTTCCCCTGGCTCACTCCACCTGCTCACTCTTTCTGGTCTTCATTCCTGTTCCTCAGCTCTTATATCCACTCACTCTGTGCTTGTACAGAAGTTGCATCTGCAGTTAGAGTAGTGGGAAACAAGATGGCGGCCCAGTCGTGCAATGGGCAGAAGTCACAGAAGGGAAATTGAGGCTAGATCTAAGGAAATGTCCTGTTAGAGCTGTCCCAGAGCGGAACCTGCAACCTTAGGATTCAGAGCTGTAACTAGAATGGGTCAAGAAGGACTCTGTGCCAGGGTGCTGCCATGGAGGGGTATATTTTGTGCAATTTGTGGGCTTCCTCCCCAGGGTACTCACTGTCCTTGTGGTGACTACCTCCGCAGGGATTGGCCCCCTTCAGGTCCTATCACCCCTCTCTCACTCCCCCAATTCCTGCAGGCAGGAAGAGGCAGACCGCTGTCCAGCCCCACTATGAGCAGAGTTGGATTTTATATGTGTGTGTACACATACATATGTGTACATGTATGTATGTATGTATAATGTGTGTGGTGTATATATATGCATATACACACATTACACATACATATGTGTACATGTATGTATGTATGTATGTATGTATAATGTGTGTGGTGTGTATATATATGCATATACACACATTATATATAATATATATATAATGTGTGCAGTATATGTGTGTGTACCCATACATATGTGTATATATGTATATATAATATGTGTGGTATATGTGTATATATAATGTATGCAGTATATACATGTGTACTCACACATATATATGTATATACACAGATTCATAATGTGTGATATATGTGTGTATGTGTGTATGCCTATACACACATACACACTGCACATACATATACATATATGCTTATATACACATACGCTCGGGTACACATGTATATATGCATATGCACACACATACACCCAGGACATACTTAAGTTTGATCTGAATCATTAGCTTTTCTCCCCGTTTAAGTGTAAACGCCAACAAAACAAAAAGCCAAACCCTAATTTGTGTTGATTTCTGAGGCATAAATTCTCACTCTGAAAATTTGACAAACTGACTCAACCCACCCTTGCCCTCACTCAACTGTTTTTCCTGGCTAAAAATATTCCTATTGACATCTCTCTCAGGAGGTAGTGAGCTCCCTGTCACTAAGGGTCTTCAGGCAGAGGCTGGGTAACCACCAGCTGGGTATGCTGTAGAGACAATTTTCATTCAGGTATGGATTGCCACCTCAATATCCTTCAATTATTCAACAATCATTTAAGGGCCTCCTATATACCAGGAACTGACCAGGGTGTTGGGGAAATAGATAAAACTGAAAAGGATCCCTGCCCTCAAGGAGCTTACAATCTAGCCAAGGGAAGTAACATGCTCCCATATAAAGCCCAAAGCCCACTTGACTTGTGTGTGACAGAAGCTCTCTGGGCACCCCCTGCTATCCAGCTGCCCTCCATCTCTCTCTCTCTCTCTCTCTCTCTCTCTCTCTCTCTCTCTCTCTCTCTCTCTCTCTCTCTCTCTCTCTCTCTCTCTCTCTCTCTCTCTCTCTCTCTCTCTCTCCCTCTCTCTCTCCAAAGCAATCAGGAATCAGAGGTTAAGTCACTTGTCCAGGGTCACACAGCTACTAAGCTTCAAGTGTCTGAGGCTGCATTTGAATTCGAGTCCTCCTGACTCCAGGGCCACCTGTGGGTCAGCATACTGCTTTTATACCTTGGAAGCATGAGACATGTGAAAGAGGAATTCCAAAATTAAAGAAAAAAAAGACCAAAATCTTTATTTAATTTAAACTTTCAGAAACCAAATACTAGCTTTGCTTAAGTGGGGAAAGGGGACCGAGGGGAATTACGAATCTTATTGCAAGATCGTTTCTCAACCTTTTCAAAGACCACAGGCAGATGGGACACTGTCCATAACTGTGAGCTGGAGAAGTCATTGTCCTGAGGTCCAGAGAATCTTCAGCTTCAGCTCGGAGTGTTGGAAGAGGGCAGAGAACTGGGGTCTCCCTACAGTGAGCTCCAACATGCTGTTATTACGTCAAAATACAAATGTCGAGCAAGAGACCTTGGCAAGCAGCTGGATCTGGGGTCAGTGCTGGTTCCATTCGGGTAGCCTTGGGTAGATCACGTCCTCTTTCCAGCCTCGGTTTCCTCATCTCCTCACCTTTGCAAACGCCCAGAACGCACTCCGCTTTCCCTTCCGCCTCGTGGAAGTCCTAGCTTCCTGTAAAGATCAGCTCATGGACCATATCCTACAAGAAACCTTTTCTGATTGATTCCCTTAGTCATTAGTAATTTTTCCCTCTTCCTCCTTAACTTTCCAGTTGGACGGAGTCCAACATGGATCTGTATAAATATTCAATTTCGCTGGGCTGAACAGTGGATGTCCCAGTGTACTAATATTATAGGGTCTTTGGTGTGCTTATGCTGTGGTCAGGCTGTGGGATCTTAGAGGATCGTAGATCCCTAAGAGACAAACCTCCCCCGCAAAAAACGACCTACAAACAGGCACACTTTTAAGTTTAATTTGCATTGTTTACATTTTCTCCATCACTTTCTTAAATCTAGAGACAATCAACAAAATAGTAACTCAAGCTCGCACTTGTAGCGATTGCTGATTTCCGAGATGCAGTTTAACCATCAGCTCCCCTTCAAGCTGCCTCCAGCACACCCAGGGGGTTGGTTGAGTTCCGGGGTGAGGAACCGCTTCTGTTAAGGGGATTTGTTCTATAAGTTTGGATTCAGTCAAAGGGCTGCACTTGAGGACCTAGAGGATGATATGTAGCCTCCAGGCCAAAAGTTCCCCACCCCTGGCCTTGTTCAAACTCTAGCCTTGAGACCCAAGGAAAAATGGGTTCAAATCTTGTCTCTGACACTCATCAAAGGATCAAAGATTTGGAATTGGAAATGACCTCAGAAGTCATCAACTTAATCCCTCTTTTTTTTTTTTTTTGTAGAGATCCCTAGAGAGAAGTAACTTGTCTAAGGTCACATAGGCAATAAGTCAGGATTAGAACTCAGGTCCTCAGACCCCAAATGTAGTCTTTATTCATTTGTACCATTGTGGAAATTCAGACTCTATCCTTTCCAAACACGTCCTAATGATTGCTAAAAGCTTGGAGCTAGATTCAAATAAACACACAATTAGAGGTGACAAGAAAGTATAAACAAGGTCCTAATTGAAGAAGGTGCTAATTGTTCTCCCTGCACTCAGAGGTTGTAAAAGGGAGGAGGGGAGCAGATATAGAAGCAGGGACTGGTATTTCTTGATTTTATTCCACTCGGGCTCCCAGGCAGAAAGCAAGGGGCCCAGGGCAGTCAGTTAGTCAGTCAATATTAACAGTCTACTACGAGCCAGGTGCTGTGCTAAGTACTGACAAACAAAGAAAGGCAAAAGACAGTCCCTGCCCTCGAGAAGCTTACAGTCTAATAGTGGAAGACAGCATAGAAAGGGAGAGATGTGATGGAGAAGTCCAGAGGAGCGCAGCTGGGTGGGAATTGTAGCGATGGTTGACCTGGGCTCCCTCCTTATGGAGGTTCTGCAAGGAAAGGTCTCTGCCTCACCATTAGAAGGAGGGAGGGCTTGAGGGGCAGAGGCTACCCCCAGAGAGGGGGTTTCAGGGCTGATGTGATCTTGCAGAGTGACAAGGTTCGTGGGGCCCCGTGAAAAAAGTCCCAAAGAGCAAAACGCAGGGGGAAACGAAACAGATGACTCCTGGGGGCAGACACAGAGCCCAGAGAACTACAGCCAGATTAGAAGTCCAGCCACTGATCACTGCATGAATACCTCTATCTAGGAAAACTAATGGGTCAGCACTGAAGGACCTCAGATCTCTTATCAATTCAGTGTCCACTTGTGACTTTAGAGGCCTGCCTCCTACCACTGGGGAGAGAGGTTAGACTAGGGAGAGCCAACTATTGAATTTTCAATTTGAGCTGTAATTACAGCTCAGAAATTGGCAGACTAGGGCTTGACTGATTCTTTTGTTGATTGTCTAGACTAAGAAAGTGACAGAAAAAATGTTGATGACACAGATTGAACTAAAAAATGTATCCTGCCTACATTTTTCCCCTGAGAGCTGATTGTTAATTTTTACCAGCGTACCCTTGACTATAGGGCCAGAGCTAGGAATACATTTTCAAACATGGTGAATGTGCTGATCTGTTTGGCATGGCATTATTTATTGTTACAAGGGAGGATGTTATGGTATGAATGACAGAATCGTTGAAAAGTGACTGCTTTTTTTTTAGGGGGAATAAAATAAAACATTGAAAAAGGAAACAAAGTTTCATTCAAGCTTGCCCTTTTATTTAAGTACCCCACAAACATACACATTGGATCTTTCCTCCCCTATGCTCAGTGTTAAGGATTCAACTCTTTTTAAACTAAAAGATTGAGAGAACAGAATCACAAAGTGCAATGTAAATTGGATTTGACCTCTGAGGACCTGAGTTCAAACCCTACCATACCACTTACCACACATACGACTTTGGACAAAGTGCCTTCACCCTTCCAGGTCTCAGTTTCCTTATCCGTAAAGTGAGAGGATTGGGCCAAATTACTTCTAACATTTCTAACATAATTGTTCTGTTGATTGTGTTTTCAAATACAAAGAAAAAACAATTTAGTTATTCTTTTGATTTAGAGGGGTAGAGTAATTGAGGATAGTGGTTCTCACAATGTCCTGGGGACTTCTAGGAATCCCAAGACTCTTTCAGGGAGTCCAGGAGGTCAAAAATATTTTCATAATAATGCTAAGATGTTTTCATTTCTAATACGGTAAATGCCAATTATTCCACAAAAACAAAAGCTCTTTGGGGAGGAGGTCCTCCATGATTTTTAAGAGTATATGGGATCCTGAGATCAAAAAGTATGAGAACCTTTAGTACAAGGGATAAACTACAGGACTCAGAAAAGAGTCAAGATTGAATCCCAAACCTCTAATTATTAGGTGACAATGGGCAAATCACTTAAACTCAATTTACCCCCAGCCTTCTCACTTGGCGGTGTCCTCCCCTAATGAGGTGAAAAGGAAGAGGAAAAGTGAGGGGTGTGGAGAGAGCAGGGGAATGAAGGTGAGGACATGATATAGAAAGTTCAGGAAGAGAGTCAGGAGGGTAGCTGGGAGAGGAGTGAAGACATGGCTGGCCTGGGAGTCCACCTGAAAGTGGACTCTGGGAGAAACCAGCCAATCAGAGAGAGAGGCTTCAGGGGCACAAAAGGGTCAGGTAGAGCTAGCCAGCTCTCTGAGAGCCATAGGGAGGTTGGCAGTCCTGCCTTGAATCTTTCCCTGATCTTTCTCCAGCTTTGGGGGGAATATATTACAAGAGGGGGGACTTGATTCTGCCATTCTCTGACCCTCAGCACTGAAGAGAGTCAGCCACCAGTACCACCTGGTGACCAAGTATGTATTGGATTTAGAGTCAGAAGGAACCGGATGCCAATCCTACCTCAGACCCTCACTAACTGTGTGACCCTGGGTAAGCCTTATCAGTAAAATGAGGGAGGTGGAATTAATAGATTTAGGAGGGGGCAGGGAAGGAGAGAACAAGCATTTATTAAGTGCCTACTATGTGCCAGGCAGCTGGGTGGCGCCCTAGTGCTGAGTGCTGGGGCCAGGAAGACCTATCATCCTGAGTTCAAATCTGGCCTCGGACACTTACCAGTTGTGTGACCCTGGGCAAATCACTTCACCCGGTTTGCCACAGTTTCCTCATTGTAAAGTGAACTGGAGATGGAAATGGCAAACCACCCCAGCATCTTTGCCAAGAAAACCCCAAAGGGGGTCACCAAGAGTCAGACACAACCGAAATGACTGAACAAGGTGCCAGACACTGGGCTAAAACCCTTTACAAATATTATCTCAGGAAGCCATCTCATCCAACTCCCATTCTACAGATGAGGAAACTGAGGCCCCGGGAGATGAAATGACTTGCCAGATGTCATGGAGAGATGGGAATGAGCCCAGGTAGTCTTCCCTCAGGGTCAAGGTTCTTCCCACTGTTCCAGCTGGCTCAGGTGGATGGGCGGCAGTCCCAGCCTATTATAATAAGGCAGCAACAATGGAATCGGGGAAGGACCCGATTTAAATTCAAGACATGAAATCGACAAGATCTGGTAACTGATCAAACACGAGAAGCCGGGGAGAGGAAGAAGCAAGATAAATCCAGTGTGTTACCGGTACAGAAGTCAAAAGATTCAGTGAATAAATAAACTGGCGGAGAAGCCGCGTAAATAGGGGGCTGGCAGATCTCACGGCAGATAAACTGTTTTCCAAATGTAAAGAGGCTGTTTTGGAGAGCGGAAGGCAATACAGCCCGGGTCTCAGGCTAGGCAGGAGAAGCATTTCAAACGCTGAGGATGGCAGGGTCTTTTCAATTACACAAGTGAGGTCTAGCCACGCAGCATCCTCGTCTTCCAGTGGTGTCTGATGAGCCAGCAGTGAAGTCACGGGTACCAGGATCCCTACCTCCCCAATTAGCAGAGCAGAACAGCCCCTGGGCCTCAAAGCCTAAACTGGCGATGAGCATCTAGACTTGGGGGGAGCCTCTGTGGTCGAGATCTATTCAAGGCTGGAGCCGGCGGGCCTCTGCCCCTCTCCTGGGTGTCTGTGGTTTTCTGTGGGTGGAGAAAAGGGTTTGGTCATCACAGACTGCTTTACTCATCTTGAGAAAAAAGCCACCCATGATGTCTGCAACTTTGGGCAGCCCTTTGTGAATGGGGGAGGTGGGGAGGGAGCGGGAGAGGGGGGTTGATAATCCAGATGTTTTGCTTTTTAAAGGAGATTTTCAAACACACACACGTGTGATTTAAGAGACATGGAATTCCATAACTAGGAGGGTTTAGTAGGAATTATTTAGGCCATCGCTCTGGCTCTAGGCAGGTCTGGGCCTTGTCATCCAAGGTGTCTGCCCCGTTTTTAAATGACAATGAAAGTCTGCAACCAAAGGAGGGAGTCTGCTGCAATATTTAATAAACCTCAGGTTAGAAACCCTTTCTTTCGGGATTGACTGAGATTTTCCCAACAACTTTGGATGAAGGAGGAGGGAATGGGAGGAGAGGGGTAGAAAGGAAGGGCTGTGTGGTTTGCACATCCATCACCCACGCACGCACCCCTTTTTCTGTTTCTCCTTCTATGTTATTTTCACCCAATTAGATTATGAACTCCCTGAGGGCAGAGCCTATCTTTTGACTTTTCTTGCACCCCAGTGCTTAGCACAGTGTCTGGCATATAGGATGTGCCTGATGAATGTTTATTGACTGACTGACTGACCATCAGAAGCTAACCGAGGAAAATGCCCCATCAGCATCTTCCTTGCCTGCTCATGCTTATAAGCCAGCTGTAGGTTGAAGTCTTAGGAGCCAGCCGCCCACATGTGTCTGGGCAAGATTTGTCAGAGCTGTGCAGGGCACATCAGAACCAGGGTGAATTTGAGAGCTGGAAAAAAAGTTACAATTTATTTTTCTTTTTTAAAAAATCGCTTATGATTTCTTTTTCTTTAAAAAAAATTTATTGTAGCCTTTTTATATCACAGTCATATGAAACACCACCCCACCCTTTCTTTTGCTGTGATATTTCCTGTGAATGAGAACAACGGATGGCCAATATATGCCCTTTTGGCTCAGCTGGTAGCCAGGCAGTAGTCCTTACCTTGGGGTTCAGCGGCTGCCAATTAGGTCTGTAAATAGATTTTAAGAGATCTATCAGCTTGGAGGGGGGAAATGACATCTTTATTTCAATATCATTGGTTTCCTTTGTACTCCTATGCATTTGAAAACATGATGCAAAGAAGGGGTCCATAGGCCTCCTCGGACTTCCAAAGAGGAGAGGAGAACAACCCTGGATTAGAGGAATCCAACCAACCAGGCAACATTTATTAGAGTGTCTGTTTATTAATGACAGCTACTATGTACC